CTTAGATCATCATTTATTTCCCCCTGGAAAATGTCTCGTTTATTGCCCACAGTGATGGATTTCTAGTGTATGATTGAGGCCATGAGATGTTCCTCTGGGTTGGTGATGATGTTGTGAATGTGTTATGGTGAAGAAAGCAGCAGCAGCCCTGCTGGCTTGGGATCCTTATCCTGCTCACCAGGAAATGTGTCTGCAGTTCCTACAGCAGCTGGAATTGGTAGCACAGCACTGCTGTGTCCTCAGTGACTTCTGGGCAGGGTGATGGTGTTTGAGCAGATACTCCACAGCTTCTCTCTCTGCAATGAGATCTGACCCAAGGGACAGGAAAGTTTTTCTTGGCTTTGAACTTGGCTGTCCCAGTTAGCTCAGCAAATTAAACCAGTGTTTGATTCCTTAGGAAGGAATATCACGTGCTGAAGAGCATTGCCTGGTTTGTTGGGATTTTCTTTTAAAATGTTCATTCCTTCCAAGTTAATTTGCAGTTACAACATCAGAGGGGAGCTGCGTTACAAAAATCAGTAAATCAACTTTGGTGATTAACTGATCCTTCCAGAGGAGCTCATGGAGCTGAGCTTGGCCTTTCTGCAGCCAGGACAGACATCTGGACATCCTTCTGCGAGGGAAGAGGCTCCAGGCTTTGTCAGAGCACACACGAGTCTCTGCACTGGAGTTAAACATTGCACTCTGCAGAGCTGAATAGAATATGAATACACGGCTTTTGGAAGACCAGATTTGCTGGGCACAGTGTCAAATCTCTTGCTTTTGGAATATTTTCGTGGGATTAGCTGGAAGAGGGGAGATATGGGTGTAAATCAGGGAATTTGGTGAGTTCAGAAGTGAACAGGACTGATTCTCATTTGGGTTTTTCCCTGTGTTTTACTCCAGTGCTGCAGTGCCTTAATGCTGGAGTGATTTTACACCCTTTAATCTCTTTTATTAGTGACACCTTGTCCCCTTCCATCTGTGTCACAAGGGACAGTGTCATTTTAGGGATGTGCTTGAGGTACCAACTCCCTGTGTCCCCCTGCTCTGTGTGTGCCTCAGATTTGGATGGATAAGGGAGCAGATGTGTAGGGAGCACATCCAACATCTATTTATAGGAGCATGGAGTGACAGGGGGACAAGGGGGAATGGCTTCAAGCTGACATAGATGGTTTAGATGGGATATTGGGAAGAAATCCTTCCCTGGGAGGGTGGGGAGGCCCTGGCACGGGTTGCCCAGAGAAGCTGTGGCTGGCCCTGGATCCCTGGAAGTGTCCAAGGCCAGGCTGGACGGGGCTTGGAGCAACCTGGGACAGTGGAAGGTGTCCCTGCCCATGGCAGGGGGTGGCACTGGATGAGATTTAAAGTCCCTTCCAACCCAAACCATTCCATGATTCTGTGATCTCCCCCTGTGCCCATGTGCAGCTTTCACTTATATTTACATTCCTTAGAGCTGCTGGAGGTGTGCACTGGGCTGTGCTTTGTAGGGGGTTGGAAAGATTAAGACTCACCTTTCTGTCTTTTTTACAGATAGATATATGTATACACACACACACATATATGTGCCCATCCAGGCAGACAGTCCTGACCATCCCAGGAGTTGATACAGGCACTGAGAGCAGACAAAAGCTGCAGAAACTGAGCTGGCAGGGCTATTAATTTTTCACCAAAAAAAGAAATCTTGCATTAAAAATAGAAAAATCTCTGATGATAAACTCTGCAGTGGTGAAACTCAAAGCAAATCATTTCACGAGCTCCTTGATGTAGAAATCGTTACTGCCACTCTCCTGTATTATTAAAAAAAAAAAAAAGGAAAAATAAAATTAAAAAAAAAGCCTGTGCTCTTGCAGTCTTGTTTAGTTTCCAATTAACATTGACAGAACAAGTGACTGCAAGTGTTTATCAGCCAGCCCAAAGCCAAGGTCTGGGAAACTTTGCAGAGGTAATATATTACTCATGAATCCTGTACTTTATTCTGGAATAGTTCGTACATGCCTTATTCATAACACCAAAGTCATGCCTGTAATTAAATTTAGGTAAATACCCTTCCAACTGCAGCTGAAAAGCAGTGTAGGAGCTGACTGTGGAACCTGGGCTGATGTGTCAGGAGGGAGCTGCACTTCAGCTCCTGCTGCGAAGAACAGGCACTTTGGAAGCTTCTGGATCTTCAGTTCATGCATGGGATTAATGCAGTTACAGCTCCATTCAGGGCCCTCCCAAAAGTTATCAAAGGGTTTTCCAGCAGCAAGCAAACAACTGCTGTTATTTGCTGTCCTGTGATGTGGAACACGAGGCAGAGGGGATGGCTGAAGGCTCCCTGTGTGCAGCTACTCTCGCTCTGGAGCAGCAGGATGTGGTTCCTGATCCTCACAAAGGGAAGGAGCTGATGGCTCTGATTTGTGGAATCACAGAACCTTAGAATGGTTTGGGCTGGAAGGGACCTTAAAGATCATCCAGTTCCACCCCCTTAGCCACACCTCCCACTAGCCCAGGTTGCTCCAAGCCCCGTCCAACCTGGCCTTGGACACTTCCAGGGATCCAGGGGCAGCCACAGCTTCTCTGGGCAACCTGTGCCAGGGCCTCCCCACCCTCCCAGGGAAGGATTCCTTCCCAATATCCCATCTAAACCTACTCTCTGTCAGTTTGAAGCCATTGTCCTGTCCATCCAGGTCCTTGTCCAAAGTCCCTCTCCAGTTCTCCTATCCACCCCTCTATAAGTTCTTGACCTTGCAGCACCAACCTTTGTGTGGAGGTGAACACCTTGGCCCTTCTCCAAATGACAACCACAGCATCATGAATCTGATTTATTGCAATATGTGTATATATAAACAGCCAATACAGGTTTTCATAATCTGTCCTAATGGGGCCAAATAAAACTCAGCAATTGCTGCTCCCGTTGACTTCCAGCTGTACTTGGCAACACTCAAGCTGTGTTTCAGTCACTTGTTTCCTTCTGATCCCTTCCTCCTTCCCACGGGCATTCCTGGAGTGTAAATGCATTTGTCTGTCTCCTCCAGAAGGCTGTGACCTGATGTCCTCCTCCCATTCCAAAGAGGAGAAGAACCAAGAGAAATCAACAGGCTGTGGTTAACTCAAGGTGCTACAACCACTTCCAAGGCCCTTCTGTTGTCCCAGCTTTTTGTGTTTTGTCCCTTCTGTCGGTGCTATTTGGGGAATTCTCACAGCACAGACGCGTGGGATGGGAGGCACTGCCCTGTGCACAGAGGCGTCCTCACAGATCCAAAGCTTCAGCTGAGGTATCAAAGCTCTGTTGTGCTGGGCAGAGTCACCATCTGGAGAGGCTTCTCCTTCTCCAGGGATGGGAAGTGTGGAGCGATGGGATCCCGGCACGGGCCCTGTGCCAGGCCAGGGTGTGGAGAGCAGCTTGCCCGGCAAAAAAAGGGGTTTTCCTCACTTTCTTTTGGTGCTCAAGTCACCCTGAGGATGGAGATACTGTCAGTCCACAAAAACATTTCAGGCAACAGTTACTTGAGTTGATGGTGCCTCTGTAAATTGAGTTGCATTCCGGAATGAGGCACAACAGGATTCCTCACCAGTGCAAGAGTTTATTACCTGTAAAAGGGATGTGGTGCTCTTCCACCTGTCCAAACCTGAGGATCAAGCCCTGCCTTGTAAGAAAAAGGTGATTTGTTTCTCATCCCACTCCTCCAGTGGGCACATCCACTGGCAGAGCATCCCCAGGCCCCACTCCCATGAATCCATGTGTTACTGCTCCTAAAGGAAGTTCATTGGCAGGACCTGGGGGGACCTTGCCAGACACCTGGCCAGGGCATTACAAGCATTGTGCTTTTATTCTTTTCTTCTTTTGGTTTATTTTGAGATGGAAAATCATTCCCCCTGGGTGTGGATGAGCTGGTAAATCCCCCCCATTGTAAAAACTTCTATCCTGTGTAATATTTACTTGATGTTTGGCCATCCCAAGGATTTCTTTGCTTTACCAGACAGGGATGAGCTAATAACATTCCCTGTCCTTAAAAGCCCTTTTAAAACCATGGTTGATCTCATGTTTTATTTTCCTTGGCCGGGAGGGGTTTGATTGCTTTCAGTGTAGTCACATTTTTATGCAGTTCCAGAAATGAAGTGGGTTAAAAGGACTCCCTTGGGAGCACCCAGGGGCTTAAGGAAGAATGTAATTTTGTTGGTAAAACCAAGGAAACAGCAGACACAGCCCACCGAAGTTCCAGCATGGAGCCTCAGCAGCTCCTGCCCTGCTTGCTGCATCTCCTGCAGGGGCAGGTATTTACTGCTTTGCCCAGAAATTATATTAAAACTTCACGTTTTTGCACCTTGTGTGTTCTGTGTGTCTGTGAGGAATCAGCTTCTCACATCTTTGAGAAGATTCACCCATGTTGGACTTGCAGTGTTACAAGCTGGAAGTCTGTAAATGTTCAAAAATGTCAATAAAAATGACCTTTAGCGGTGGAAGTTGTTGTCTGGTTTATTATATTTTGCCTTAAACAGGGCCTGGTGTGTAGCTCAGTTAATTTGCTTTGGTTGTCAACCTGGTAGGTCATGGCCAGAAGCATCTTTATTACTGGAGAACGTGTTTACAAGGAATAAAGCAGGTCTGGCACAGGGTGGAAAGTGCAGGTGTCATTTAAAGGACATTTTTTTCAAAGTGTGGTTATTCTAAATATGGCATTTTCTAATGACTCCAGGGTTGGTGACAAGCTTTGCAAGTGTGGTTCTTCTCTGTTAAATGACTAGAAAAGTGACACTTCAGTTTTCATGGAATTGTACCTCTGCTGTTTTCAAATTTCCATCTGCTCATAGAAAATCTATTGGGTGGGGTTTTTTTGCTGTCCTCCAATATTTGGGGTGTTTTGAGCTATCAGTGCTTACAATTAATTGGTGCTTCACAGGTGAGAATTCATCCACCTCTACTTCCCAAAGCTGGATGAGATTGAAGAATTAGCAAAAAGGGGCAAAAATTACCCTCAGAAGTTGTTTTGTTGGTATAACAAGAAATCCTAACACAGTCTTCCTTCTCATTTTAGGAGTGGCCACACCCTGCTTGCCTTCTGGTTTTCCCGACAAGAAGGAAAATTAAATCGACAGCAAACCATTGAACTGGGACATCACATCCTCAAAGCACATATTTTTAAGGTAACAAAAATTCAAATGAAGACTTAACACCAAGCTCATCCCCAGCACTGGCAGTGCTCAGTCGTGTCTGGTCGTGGGGTTGGAGTAAGAGTGTGATAGCCTGAGGCTGCTGGAGCGAGTAGAAGTTTGGAAAATTGGCAGTGGTATCTAAGAAATGCTTGAAATTAAACCCTCCTTCAGCCTGGAAATTCGGCAGATAGCCTCCTTCCCTAAAAATTGCTCTCCAGCCTAAGAGGTTTCCTCCCCTGTAAGATGAGTTCTTGTAACAGCATCTAGAAAAGAGAAATCTTTTAAAAGCGGATTTGAAGAATCCAACACTAAATTTAGGTGCTAAAGGGGAAATTTGCTGGTTGTTAACATTGGCTGGTCACTCCACATTCCTCTTCACACAGACATTTCAGATCTGGGTAGTTGAAAGGCAAACTCAGGTGTGAGCATCAGGATGACCCATAAATATCATTCTTCCTGCCTGCCCAGGTACCAGAGGATCAAAATTAGAGGGTGGATTTTTAAGGTCACAGGAAATACAGAATTTCTTACAGCTGTTGGGATCTGTGAGTGTTTAACACCGGTGAAAACAAGGCTGTACTTTCATCTGGTCTGTACAGGATTTTATAACTTCAGCACTGCTGTGGGTATTCCTAGAGCAAGCAGATGGTTTGTGCCTTGTGTCAGTCCTGTTGGAGTTATTTATTGCATTCCCTGTGCAACAAATACTGCACCAGTTTCCCCATCAGGTGTAGCAGCAAAGTCTCCTCGTTTGGGAAGGCAATGACTGGATCCAAAGGGAAGAACCCCAGCTCAGCACTTTATCCTCAGGGGGTCATTTCACATTTTGAGTTACATTCCCAAGGCCAGATTCAGCCCTGAGTTTACTGCTCAGCTGCCATTTAGGTCTGAATCTGGTTCCAGACCTTCTCCATTCAACACTTCCATGGTGGAAACCAATAACAGAGATTCAGACTCTGAGCAAAGGACAATTTTCATGGAGTGGACGAGCTGTCTACAGATTCCAGGTTTAATTGAGCAATATTTACAGTAGTAGAAAAAGCCAATTAGCATATGAGAAATGTCAGTCCAGCCTTCTGTTCCTCATCACTCAGCAAAACCTTTGGGTGTCCAACACTGTAGGAAGACCAGTGACAGAAAACCAGAACAGAACATTGGTTGGAAGTACCACAAAGTTTTGGAAGGGTTTGAATTTAGCTAGATTACAAACTGTAACTTAGTCTTTTGCTTTTCCTTGAATAGATTTATTTTTGTTCCTTATTTTAACAAGTGTTTACTGAGGATTTGTGAGTGTTTACTGCACAGAACAAGAGCTGCATTAGTTTCTGAAGGAGGCATTAGGCTGGAATATTACAGACTGTGTTTAAGATCTTGAGCATTCTTTAAACAAAATATTTCCTAGAGTACAAGCACAGGCTCTTTGCCTGTTGTAACCAGCTCTATTTGTTTCTAAACAAGCATTTTTTCCATTCAGGCTTTTCTTTCTGTCTGATCTTTTGCTGAAGCATTACCGGCCTGGCCGTGGGTTTTCTGCCAAGTAGGGAACGTGTCAGGTCATCAATTCAGGATGTTCTTCCTCAAGTTCCCATATTATAGCAGCAGCTTTCTGCAGACACAAAGATCCTAATTTTGAAGGTATTTATGGAGGCCTGATGCCATTGTAATTCCATTTTATTTACCCATCAGAAAGCCAGGAGAAGATCAGAACAGGACTAAAGCATTTTGTTCAGAGACTGAGAGCTGGGTATAGAGGCAACTTTGATAAAACAGTGCAGAAAATGTCTTTATCCTTCCCCAATCCTCTGGTACCTTGGCAAGGTGATGACGGAACACTTGGAATTCAGGTGCTGACCTGACACATTGGTGGGAAGACACTTTCACATTCCCCTCTTCACTCACTGGCTGAGATCTGCTGGTTTTCTTTTAAACACAAACATCCTCAAACAGTTTGGGGAAAAAAAAGAAAGAAAAAATAAAATCTTTTAATCTTTTTAATCAGTTACCAGTCTTAACAGGAGCATATGGAAAGCCAGCTTGGAAAGCCTTGGCATGGAGTGAAAGGGCACAAAGAGAAATGTGCAGTTGTCGTACGAGAAGACCCAACCTTCAGGCTGATGTATGTTTTGCAAATCAAACAAAGAGGAGGCTTTAATTTAATCTGAAATTAGTTCAAATGTCAGTAATCCAGATGTGGGTGATGCTTTGAGCAGCCTGGTCTAGTGGAAGGTGTCCCTGCCCATGGCAGGGGGTGGAATGAGATGGTCTTTAAGGTCCCTTCCAACCCAGACCAGTCTGGGATTCCATAAGGTGCAAGTTGCCAAAGAGCAGAGGAAGTGATAAGTCAAAAATTAAAGATGCTGACAGCTGCATACCAGACAGGACAGAACAAACCAGCTCTGGACACTGGGGTTGTGAGGGTTGGCAAAGTTATTCAAATGGTCAGGCCGTGCCTTGGTCCCGTTTTGGATGATCCCAGGGAAGTGGGAACCATTGGTGGTTTTTGGTTTGATGTTGTATCACACTGAAATTTGCTTTTGCTGAAGGATTCAACCTGTGGAGTTCTGAAAAGGGAATATAAGAAAAGGAAGATACAAGCTGTAAAATGAGAAATAGTGCAGGGTTTTTTTAGCAACTGAATACTGATGGTGTTGAATGTATTTTTTTCTTTAAAGCATAAATGTCACCTTTTAGGTCTTGCACTAATATCTAAGCATATATATTCTAATGCAACAGTTAAGATTTTTATAGCATCTGTGATTATCTTCAGAGGGCTGTTCTCAAAATATCTACCCTTTTCCTTGGTCCTTGATGGTGATTCAAACACCTTATTTATGGGCTTGATAGTAGTATAACAATTTTTAAATTATTTTAACTGTTTATTATAAAACTGTTTCCCATTTCCCAATTACACCATCCTGAGTTCATGAAATTTAATCTTGACCTTTAGTGTCCTGCATTGTGTCATTTCCAAAGCTGCATTTAGCAGTGGCTCAAATTCCTGAGCTCTCTTCTCCCTCTTAGCACAAGCAGATCTTTTCCTCAGTTTAGCTGCCTGAATTTTAAGGAAACAAGCACATGGAGCTGTTATTTATAAAGAGCTTGTGTAATCTGTTGCTTCTTTTGGTGATAAAACTGTTCCAAGTGACAAATCTGTTGATGGCTGGAGCAGTACTGTGGAGTCTCTTCCCCACGTCGGAATTACAGGCCTGCAGCAGCAGGTGGAGATGCTGATTCCTGCACATCTTCCCTAAGAGGAAACAATCCCACTTTTTGCTGCTGGTTTTGTTCCCACCTTTTCAGTCTGGAACTGTGATCCTGCTGTTTTGCACGGATACAAGTGACCCCCCCCAGCGTGCGAGGAAGTGGAAATCAGGGTTTGCATATCAAAACAGAATTAAGGCTGTCTGTGCAGTTTCCATGGAAACAGCAGGGTTTAATGGGAAATGGATCAGAACAGCAACGTTTAGGGTGTACCCACATCACACAGCGAGCACAGCACGCAGCCAGGCTCCTTCCTGGAGCTCCAATCCCATCCCTCTCCTCTTCCATCCAGCTGTTCACTCCCATCTGTTGGCTACAGAGCAATTATGGCTCTTTGCACAGGAGGGAGAAACCTACAGTTCTGTGCTCTGCCAGTTAGTGATGCTGGGAAATATTTCATATTTTGGAATCTTTCTGGAAAACATCATACTTCCTGTATGTTATGTATAACCTGATCATAGACACCAGCAGGAAAGGTTGGAGATGAGAAGGGGGAATACTGCTCCAGGCTGTGGTTGAGAGTTCCTCAACTTACCTTATTATGAGCAGACATTGTCTTTTGGTTTAACTGTGTGAATAATAAGGAAATTTGTGAATCAGTCCTGCCAAAATAATGTGTATTTTATTAAAAAAGAAAAAAAAAGCAGCAACCTGTGCTCCTTAGCACAACACTTGGTGAGGGTGTTGAATGGATTCTGGTTGCTCACAGTTTAATCCTGCCTTTCCTAGACCCTGGAAATGGCTGCACAACCTTTACAAGCTCTTTCCTACAAGTTTTTTAATCAATTACAAAGGTCAGGTGTGGCAAATCATTGCATTATCTTGGGTGTAGCCATTGTTGTCCTGAAATTCTTTGAAGTCCAAAGGACCAGGAGGATCTGCCTGGTTTAATGGAGCAGATTTGTGAGCTTGGGTCTCAGTCATCTTCTCTTTTTTTAGGGGCTGAGTAAAAAAGTTGGGGTGTCTTCCTCCATCCTCCAAGGGCTTTGGATCTCCTACAGTACTGAAGGACTTTCCATGGCTTTGGCATCTCTGAGAAATCTCTACACCCCAAACATAAAGGTACTGGAGGAGGGGGAGGGAGAGCTGGGGTGGCACGAGAAACTCCAGTGATGAGCAGTAACCACACAGAGGATCCAGAGGAGCTCCCTGTCCATGGCAGTGCCCTGCCCAGGCTGAGCAGCTTCCTGGGTGTTTGTCCTGAGGTGGGGAGAGGCCGTGAGTCCAGTTGGGATGTTTTACCATCTGGGATGGTCCCTCAACTCTGCTGCATGGACCAGGAATCTCCTTTTAATTGCAAGGAGTGAACAGTGAGTTTGTGCCTGTGCAAAATGATTCTCTGGGGGTTTTCCTCTTCAGAGATGTGGAATAAAACAACTGTTGTTGGAATGTGGCATAAAGGGCTGTGGCTTAGACAGGCACGAACTCAGATGTGACACCAAACCCACGTGCCCATGTGCTGGTTCAGGCCCCTTTTTTGCTTTGTAAGGATGAATGTGTTGACTTAAAATGACCCCATCTCTGCAGCAGAAAGGATTTCAGGCAGGGATACGGGTTTGGAATTGTTCCTCATGTGGAAGGATGTTTGTCCCAGCTTCTCCTCCCCATCCATATTAGGTGAGCCCTGTCCCCAGGTCCTTCCTTGCCACTTTTTCCATGGCTGCCGAGTGCAGAGGGAGCCATGCAGGGATAACCAAAGCCAGCCCCAGGGAGGATCCCAGGGGAAGGATGCTGAGTACAGTTCTCTCCAGCTGTGTGGTTTCAGTCCCCATCCTGGGGTGAGACGCCGTGTCTGCAGCTGCTGCAGCAGGGCTGGAGTGACTTTGTTCCCAAACAAAGGGAGGCTGCACCACTCAAACCACTTATCAACCACTCAGGGACAGATTAAACTGCTCCATCTACCTAAAATGGCACCATCTATTGGGCAAGTGGTTTCACTCAGCATTTCATGTCCTCTGCTGTTTGTTTGGAGATGTGCAGAGGGCCCTGGTGTAACGTTCTGTTGTCACCCTGACAATAAACTCCCGTCTCTCCAGAACTCTCAGCCAACTGCTCTCCTTTCCCATCCAGGTCAGCCGGCTGCTGATTTTGGGAGGTGCAAACGTAAATTACAGGACAGAAGTGCTGAACAACGCCCCCATCCTGTGTGTCCAGTCCCACCTGGGCTATGCTGAGATGGTGGCTTTGCTCCTGGAGTTTGGGGCCAACGTCGACGCCGCCTCGGAGAGCGGCCTGACCCCCCTTGGCTACGCGGCTGCTGCCGGATTCCTGAGCATTGTGGTGCTGCTGTGCAAGAAAAGGGCCAAGGTAAAGTGGCCACCATCCCCTGAAAGCTGATTTCAGCTGTTCCATGTCTGTGCAAGGCAGGGCGGGAGCTGCAGGACACGGAGCGCTCGCTAAGGGAACACCCTCCAGCAGATGAAGCCTTTTGGGGTTGGCTTTTCTGCTAAAACCCAGTGGTTTTAAAAATCCCACGTTGACACCAAAGCTAAGGAACTCCTGAGAATAATTAATAGTGTGTGGAGTTCAGGTCTGAGGTAGGAGCTGCCCGATGTCCCTGCGCTGGTGACCTGCAGAGGGATGTCCTAGAGAAACCTCACAACGTTAAAATGGCAACGCTTTTCCAGCACAAAACGTTCTTTAAATATCTCCTTGAGACACATTTTCCAAAAACTTCCATCAGACTTGTCCCAGAAAAATCCCTTTTGTTTAGCTTTGTGGCGAGTGTTTGGAGTTTTAATTGTATATAATGAGTCAACTTGAAATACTTTGTTGAAGAAGAAAATTGTGCTGATTTTTGAAGTGGAGCCTGCTGGAAACAATTTGTGGTTTCTCTATATGATTAGTTTCAGTTCAAAAGGCAAAATATGGGTTTCTCTAGTTTTGGTATGAAAGTCAGGATGACTGAGGGACTGTTTAGATCTTGCTGGGTTGTGTTGTCTGTAATAATGTGAAGACAGTATGAAGGAAGAAAAGAATTTTGCTTTTGTTGGGATATTTTGGTGACAGAAGTCCTGCCACTAACAGCTTGCCTTGAGCATCCCAACAGTGCTGAGGAAATACCCCAAAACCAGCTGGGTTTATTTTAAAGATGGAGATATTTGCAGTTAAACTGCAACACTGATTGTTGCAGGAGTTGAAAAAGGAGAAATATTGATATGTTATTATTGTGAATGAGTTACAAGGTGAGAAATATTTCTCATATGTATTATATAACTGTAATTTGGTCGTGAGGCCCTGGCACAGGGTGCCCAGAGAAGCTGTGGCTGCCCCATCCTTGGGAGTGTCCAAGGCCAGGTTGGACAGGGCTTGGAGCAACCTGGGCTAGTGGAAGGTGTCCCTGCCCATGGCAGGGGGTGGGACTGGATGATCTTTAAGGTCCCTTCCAACCCAAACCAGTCTGAGATTCTATGAATTAATATTAGTAAAATATATTAAAATAATAATAATTTCCTATTTTTATGAGAAGTAATATGCTGCAGAGCACTGAAAGGGTTAACCAGCAGGAGGGTGATAACTGATCTTCCTTTCCCATGTTCTCCAAGTTCCTGGTGTTGAGATAGGACCTAGAAATCCCAGCTGATGTATTCATGCTCTGAGATACAACCAAATAAGTTCCTCCAGTGCTGCCAAGCACTGTCTCTGTTTCCTACTGACTGTGCCTGCCCTGGGTTCACGTTACAGCGTCCGGCTGCAGGCTGAGGCACTTCTGGGTCTCTCAAAAGAAATGGCATCTGGAAAACAGGCTGATTTTCCTTCTGTGGATTTGGCTAAAGGAGGTGGTATCAGCGTGTGTGATTTCAATCCACAAGAAAATTCAATTGGTGGACTTCAGGACTCAAAGGGAAAAATGCTTTTGCAGCCTTTGAGTCTGAAGAAAACTGAAGGCAGCTAAAAAAATAATGATGCCTTCCCCAAAGCAAACACTTGTGGCCAAGAGGATGCCAGAGCCCGGGATGTTGCTTTGGGAATGGTTGTTTTCTGGTCATGGAAGGGACAGTTTACCAGAAAAATGCACATTTTGCACACGTGGCTTTATTCTGAAGCCGGGGCTGGAAACTCTGGAGAAGCAAAGACGTCGTGCCCGTGATTTGGTTTAACTGTGTTTTGTCATCTCTGTTCAAGGTGGATCATCTGGACAAGAACGGTCAGTGTGCCCTGGTCCACGCCGCCCTCAGAGGACACTTGGAGGTGGTGAAGTTCTTGATCCAGTGTGACTGGAGCATGGCTGGGCAGCAACAGGGGGTGTTCAAGAAGAGCCACGCCATCCAGCAGGCCCTGATCGCCGCCGCCAGCATGGGCTACACCGAGGTAGGACCCACACGGCTCTGCGGGGAGGGGAACCAAGGGCTGGCTCCTGCCAGGCCAAAATGTTGGCCAGAGAAGGTTGTGGAGGTGGAGTTACTACCTCTGTCCTGTGCCCTGGGCTGGTTTCCAAGAGAGAGAGCCTTTAAGCTCCAAGTAACAAGCCTTTAAGTTGTTGGAATAAATGTTTGGAATAAACTCTTAAGGATGAGGTGGATGAGCAGCGCGTTGCTTACGCTGCTCCTCCAGCACGGTCGGGGAGGGTGAGACCGTGTAGCTTTGGATTGTGTGTTGGGGGAGGGAAGAGCCAAAGAGCTTCCTCCTGCCATCCTGGCAAAGGTTTGTGGTGGGAAAACGATGCATGGAATCATTTAGGTTGGAAAAGGTCTTTAAGGTCAAGTCACAGCACTAACCCAGCACTACCAAGCCAAGCGCTGCCGCCGGCCCCAGCTGCCCATGGCAGCCCTTGTTCCTTCTCCTCTCCTGAGAATGGGTTTCTCTTCAATCAAATACCTCCTCACAGCCTCACCTCCTCCTGGAGAGGCATCCACTGCACACACTGGGGCATCTCCAGACAGTTTTAGGGAACTGACCCTACCAGGGCTCATCAAGACACTTGGGTGGGGTTTTTTTGCTCGTACAGGTTCAGTGACTGACCTCTAGAAGAACATTTCCTTGAGCTCAGGGTACCAGGCAGAGACTGTTCCCTCCCCTCTGTGCATTCCCAGCAGCTCGTGTCGAGGTGTCAGCACTTTCCATCCACCTCAGCCGGGTTCGTGAGCTGACAGGTCGTTTTGTTTCAGATCGTCTCCTACCTGCTCGATCTGCCAGAAAAAGATGAAGAGGAGGTGGAAAGAGCACAGATCAACAGCTTTGACAGCCTCTGGGGAGAGACAGGTGATTTCTGTAGATGCTGTAGCTTCTTTGTGCATGTTTGTGTTTCTTTTATTGGGCTTCCTGCCCCTGATGCATCCCTGATCCCAGGCATTGCTTTGATGGAGAAGGATCAGTTCCTCTGGTTTGATGCCAGGTGATTAACAGGGGCCAGAGTGGAGTTTTGCACTCAGCTTAAGGAAAACAGAGAAGTTTGGGTTTGAAAATTTTGCAGCTCCTGGCTTTTTTCAGGAGTGTGAGGCACTGAGCATTCTGACCAGGTCACTGATTTCTCTGAAACATGAGATGGACACTCAGTTCTGCTCTTTTTCTCTTGATATTGGGCATATTTATCCAAAGCATCTCCCTGTTTCTCTCTCCCCCTCTCCATTACATGCAGCACTATGGTGGTTAAATTATCCATTGATTTTCTGAAAACTCCTCATTATTTAGCACCTGGTAGTTAAACAAATGCCCTTTAGTGAAGTCCTTCATTTCTGCATTGATGGGTACAATACAAAATCCCTTCTTTCCTGACTTCTCCCAAAACAAAGGCAGCCATCCATCCCTTCTGCTCCACTAGCATCTCCATTTCTTGAGCCATTCCAGCATGGAGTTGTTTGCTTTTAACTCCAGCGACCTCATAAATATTATTCCTCTGTCATTTGTACTCAACTCACTGCTCCACTTGCATCACTGGTGATGTTGCTGTCAGGTTCATACACCCAGGTAATGTTCCTGTCTGGGGAGCAGGGCACGGATGGTGATTCTGTCAGCTTGGCTTAAAAATGACACGATCCAAGGGGACAGAGGGCGGCTGGAGCGCGGCTCAGTCTTTGCTCGCGTTGTTTCTGCTTTGGAGGGGGCAGGGTTGTATTTGGAGCTGGTTTGTAACTGTGCCTCTGAAAATGTGGCCTTATTAGAGCCTTGTGATGAATGGAGTGTACCAGAGAGCATTGCCCTGAGCTCCAAAGGACAAAGCTTGAGGGATGAGGTGTCCTGGGAAGAGCCCAGGGAGTGGCCAGGCTGCCCCGGGCCACTGGCAGGGTACTGGGGAAGGAGCCAACTCCTGTCCCCATGGGAATGGAACTGAGCAGCAAGGCCATGGGGCCATTATTAGAGGAAATAAGGGCAACAGATACAAATAAGCAATTTCAAAGTGCTTTGGGGTGTCATGGGAGAAAAAAAGGAACTGGATATGGAATCAGCCGAGTGAAATGGCCGAGTGTTGGTAACAGGACAGGGGCTTTGTACCAGTGAGCTCACAGTGGGTGACCAGTCCTGAGATAAGGACTGGTCATAAGTCATGACATAAGTCATTTTGACGTGAAATACCTCAAATTAACCTGCAACATTTCAAGTGCAGGCAGGTTTAGAAATAGAACCCAGAGCCCTGCATTCCAATCCCTCTGCCTCCTCCTGTATTTGTAGCTTACGTTTAAAACCCACATGGATCCGATTATAGATTTTGCAGAATTTGGATCATCCAAATTGTTCTCTGGTACTTGGGTCACAAGGACTGTCATTTAAATAGGACCATGATCAGATGCCTTCAGAGTTCGATCTAAAGCCGCTCAGCCCTGCAAAGTAACCCCATGGGCAGCATCAGGCACTACAGATAAGTCCTTCCCTTCCTGTCCCATGCCCTGAGCAGCTCTGACATTCCCAACCTGCCTGTTTCCATCTCTGGCATCCCCCTTCCCATACCTCTGCCCCCAACAATGCCAAAAGCTGGACTAACCAGGCATCTGGGAGTTTCTCTGTCAGAGAGGGTTTTCTGAGTAACTGGGACAATTGGGAATGTGAATTTGTGATTCATGAATCACACACAAATTGAGGGCTCACCACAAAGGAATATCTGTTTATCCCATTAAAATTGGTGAGGTGGGTAAGTGAGCAAAAGTGAACCAACCACCAAATTGAGCAGACTTTGGTCTGCGTGGGACAGCTCTGTAAGTTTGTATGAATCTCATGACTCTCACATTATTATATTGTTATTATTTCCCCAAAGGTAAATAGAGAGTTTAAATAAATTTGAAGAGGAGTGCTGGTTTCCACCTAAAAATAGCAATCTCCTTTAGAACTCTGAATCCTGGTTGTCTGGCTTTTGATACTTGTTGCTCGTGTCTAATCTTCCCCAGAGCAGAGCCGAGTGCTTGGCTTGGTGATATCAGCCTGATATCATCCAAAGGCCAGTGCCAAGTGACATCATAAGTTTAGGAATTGCTGACAGCACACTACAGCCAGCTCCAGATGGAGTATTTCCCCCTGGGACAAAACCAGTATCAAAACCCAGCAGAAAAGTATCTGAGTCGCTTTGTGCTCAGTCCATCAGAGTTGGAGGTGCAAAGAGCGGCTCCGCCGAGCTGTTTGTCTTGCTGCCAGGCTGGGAAACAGATACACGTGCTGGAGAGCAGCACTTGAATGATTCCTTCTCCAGATAAAGTTGTTTTTTCTGTAAGAAAACAGCACCTTCTCCGCACAGCAGCCAAGGCAGAATGTGCTGTGGCAGATCCCCGGTGTTGGAGGCCGTGGCTTGATGCTGGTGGAGAGGGGCATGTCCACACCTGAGTCTGGTCTCAGGTTTTGGTTGAGCTGTGTTTTGAGAAACACAGGGGTTGTTTTATGGTGTTAATGCCAAGACCTGGTTATTGCCCTGTGAGTTGTCCTCCTGGAGCTGCATCCTCGTGATACAGCTGCAAAATGAACATTCCTGTTTGCCAGCCCAGGTTGCTGCTCCTTGGTGGACTCACCTTGGTTGTGCTGGGCCACAGGAGCTCCCTGGCAGACAGTAAAACTTTAGACCAACCCATTTCCATCTCCTTTAGTTCCTCTCATCACCTTTCCTTGGCTTTTCCAGTCTCCTTTCATGCACAGGCACAGCCTTACCTTGTGTCATGTGTGTTTTTTAGACTAAAAGCCATTGTAAGGTTGATGAGTCCATCTAAGGAGTGCTGATAGAAGCAGGTACTCCTGGAGTTCTTCCTGAAAAAGTTAAATTGAGCATTTGGACTTGGATACCAGCCACAGGATAGTGCTCTGGGCTTGAGGTGAGCCACAGGATGGCAACAGCTGCTTTGGTTTGAGGGCTGTAGCAGCAGGTGAGGGACCACAGGGGGTTCTCCAGTCCAGCCTTCCCACTGGTGAGGTCTGGGTGTGCCTTAATGGGCTCTGGGGTCCAGCTGGGCTGAGTTTCTCCATTTATGAGGATTTAGGTATCTGTGCACTGTACAAGACAAGCTTGGATGGGTTTTTCTCAGCAGCAGGAGGCAAATCCAGATCATCAGTGTGGAACCTTCCTGAAGGAGCAAGGTCTGGCTGCTGAGCAGCACAGGAGCTTTTCCCTGGAGCTGGAGCTGCAGAGGACAAGCTGGAGCCACATTCCCACACCAGTTTCTTGGACCCTGAGGAACACAGCAGCAAAAAGAGATGTCAGTGCAGGCAGAAGGGATTTCAAGGGAAGAGTGGAGAAACCATGGATCAAATAATCCTGTTTCAGTGAAGTCTTCTCCAAAGAACATTTCACAATGAACACCAAACACTGAAGTGATTTACAGTATTCTCATTGCTGCAAACATAAGTCATTTTGACGTGAAATACCTCAAATTAACCTGCAACATTTCAAGTGCAGGCAGGTTTAGAAATAGAACCCAGAGCCCTGCATTCCAATCCCTCTGCCTCCTCCTGTATTTGTAGCTTACGTTTAAAACCCACATGGATCCCATTATAGATTTTGCAGAACGTTCTGCTCGTGGCAGCGAGATGGTTTTTCTTTTTAACTCTTGGTGTCTCTCAACTCCAAGAGAAGCAAACTCCACCACAACGTGGAGCAGAATCGAGAATTAATTAAATCCCCCAGCATTAACAGTGTTGCAGTTGGAAAGCCATTAACACCTCGTAATCAGCCAACCCACAGAAATGTACTTCAAAGAACAAACAAGCGACGTCAGGCAGAAATAAACTCCCACCTTCTGCTCCAACTCCTACCAGAAGCAGCAGAGCGTGGAGCCAGAGGAGCTGTGCTGAAGTGCACAGAAAGTTAGGGAGAGGGAGGAACCAAGAAGTCTAAAATTAACACCGAAACGAGTCACCGGCAGGTCCTGAACTTGGGACTATTTTCAGATGGAATGTGTCTTCTCTAACCCAACCACACTTGGGGAGTTAACAGAGCACATTTTGTCAGGGAAAAGGGCTCTCAGGTGTTGCTTCTGCCCACCTGTGATATTGTGAGCATTTGGAAATGAGAGGTAATTTGGGGTTTGCACAAAGACCCTTGCTGGTAGGATCAGCCCTAACCAGAAAAGAAGCCCAGAATTAGCATTTTTTGTGGAGAACAGGTGATCATATTCATCCTCTTTTGCTTTCCATTTTTTTCCCTGGTTTCAAAGATCTACAGGCTAAAGTGGGATATGGAAGATAAGAGTCCTCCATGTGAATTACACTGCTCTGTGCTTGTTGGGGCAGAGAAAAGCCACAAATGTGACTGACATGAGTGTCTGTCAGGGATCTGATGGTGCTCACTGCTGGATCCCTTACTTGCTCCCTTGTAGTCATGGTGGGATGAGTCAAGGACAGGTTGAAGAAGGTCTTGTCAAGTACCTGAAGACCTGTGTTTTCTCTGGATATTGAGCCCCTACTCAGACCCCTTCAGCCTCACAGCCCATGGCCTTGGCAGTGGGGAAAATGGTGAAGGTTTCATGTGATGGGACTCCACGTTTCTTTGCAGCCATACCTGAACCTCAGGAACACCTGTAGGCTCATCTACACCTTTAACCTCATCTACACCTTGAACCTTGGTCACACCTTGTACGTCAGTCACACTTGAACCTCAGTCACCTGTGCCTGTGCATTATTTTATTGTGGTTCTTCCCACATTTCACTGCGACTCGGGGAAAATAATGAAAGGTGATTGAGTCAACCAGCCTCTTTCCTTGATGTTTTCATGGAAGAGCTGACCTTTGAGGTAACTAAAATGAGAAAAGCTAGAGCTGTAATGACAAAAGCTGAAACCATACCAACCCAGCCCACTTTCCTTGTCCATTTTGCCTGTCACGGGGTGTGTTTGGCATTCCAGGCCCCGTCGCTCGGGTGTCCAGCAGAAAGACCCATCTCCAGGTAGGAGAACACTCCTCTGAGCACGGGGCTCCTTCCCTTGACCGCTGTCCTCTCTCCCGCAGCTCTGACGGCGGCGGCGGGGCGCGGGAAGCTGGAGGTGTGCCGGCTGCTCCTGGAGCAGGGCGCGGCCGTGGCACAGCCCAACCGCCGCGGGGTCGTCCCGCTCTTCAGCGCCGTCAGGCAGGGCCACTGGCAGGTGAGTGAGCCGGTCCCTCGCTCCTTAGAACAGCCTCGGGTGTGGGGTCGGGCCTTCCCTTCCGTCTCGCTGGAATTGGGGCGGAGAAGAGGAGCCCCGGCTCTTGTGGGGAATGAGCACAGTGAGAAGTGATGTTGATTCTCTAGTCACCCCCAGCTCTTGTTGCTTACAGGCAGCTTTGCTTAAGTCCTGTCTTACCACAGAATGGTGGAATAGGTTGGGTTGGAAGGGACTCCAAGACCATCCGGTTCCAACCCCCTGCCATGGGCAGGGACACCTTCCACTAGACCAGGTTGTTCCAAGTGCTGTCCAGCCTGGCCTTGGACACTTCCAGGGATGGGGCAGCCCCAGCTTCTCTGGTTATCTCACCATTTGGGAAACAAATGGGATACTCCTGACATAGAAGGTCATTTTTCCTGCCCTTATACCTCCATTGCTTCTCCCAATCCCTAATCTTCCACTTTCCTGGTGGTAGCTCTGCTAAAGCTGGTATTTATATGGATCAGTGTGACACAAACCAAAATAATTCCTGGTGCTCATTCCTGTTGGAGGGAGCTTGATTCTGAATCTCCTTTTCCTGCGACCCCAGAGGGCCTTGAGGGCTGTGAGTTTTTAGGACGTGGGTTCCGCTCTGCTCTTCCTCTTCTCTGGCCTCTTCCCAGCTGGGTGTCCATGTGTAATGTGTGTGCTGGCTCTGTGTGTTGCAGATCGTGGATCTCCTGCTCACGCACGGCGCCGACGTGAACATGGCAGACAAGCAGGGCAGGACACCACTGATGATGGCAGCGTCCGAGGGGCACCTGGGCACCGTGGAGTTCCTGCTTGCACAAGGTTAGAGCACGTCTTGGGGAGTTCTGGAGCCCATCCATGGCCAGTCCCACCTCACTGGCTCCTGCACAGCTGGAGTTTGGAGTGTCAGGGTCACACCACCCCATGTCCAGCTCCTTGGAGAACAGGGCTGGAGTAGTCATGGCCTTAATCTTGGCCGTGTGTTAAGTTGTGTCTTTAGTGCTCACAAACCCACCCATCCTAATTAGCAAACAGAATAACATCCCAGGTGCTTTGAGCATTAAAAATGTGCCCTTGAACCACACTGGGAGTGTTGCCCTTAGACAAGGAATGGACACACAATGCCACGGAACCGTCGGCATCGCTGTGGAATGGGCAGCAAGGCTCAGGCACAGACCAGAGCTGGGGACTCCTGTTAATTCTGCCATTTTTAGCTCTTGTGTTGTTGCCCACATCTGTGACTCCAGCAGCAGCAGGAGGGTAAGACCCCGGCACAAGCGAGGGGTTGGTGGATCTGCTGAAAATAAATCAGAATTCTTTTGAAGGGAGCTCTGCAGCTCTGCACCCATGGCTTCCCTCTGCTCAGCCCTTGCAGTGGCTGATAACTCTCCCTCACTGGGACTTGCTCAGCCAACATGGCTCAGTTTTGCTCAGTTCTGCTGAATCTGCTGGAGGTGAGTCAGAGCAACCCGTGGGAACACCATCAGCTCTTATTGCTGGACTTCTTTTGAGACTCCTTTGTCTTTTATTTTGTACAAATAGGCAATGTTTGGTTGGTTTGGTTGGGCGATCTTTTAATTATTTTTTTTTTTCCTAGAAATAGCATTTAATTCTTGTATTGTTATTTGATATTTTTATTCCAGGTAAGATCCCTCTTTGGGAAGGGATATTTTCTTCATCTCGTAAGTGCCTGTGTCTGCCCTTTTAGCCAAAAAGTGAGACACTTGAATATTTTATGTAGTAGTTTTAAGAATATTTTTTTCACTGTAAAATTGCCAAGAACAAGTTTCCCATTGCCTGTCTGTCTGTCCTGAGCCACAGCCAGTGGGATTCTTGCTGCTCAGTGCTGTAACCTGCACAGGGACGTGACAAAGATCAATTTGAGCTTCTTAGGAATTAATTCAATTAATTCCTTTCTGGTGTTCTGTTATTTTTAAATCTCAAATTAACACTCCCTGTGTTTGAGATGAAACATGGTCCCTTTCACAGCTTGACTGAGTCTGTGTTAAAAGGCTTAAAATAAGTGATTTTTTTTGCCCGACTTGAGAACTGTGCATGTTGCTTAAGACTCAGTGGTTCAGAGGAGGATGAAAATACCAGATAATCTGATCTAAGATATGGGATTACCAGTAAATGCACATAATATTTCTCTGGCTCTTTGGACACTGAGAGTCCAAGAAGTCAGAAATATGAAAATTTTTACTTTAAAAGGTCCATTCTCCTAAATAGCTTAGTAAACTCCACTACACACAGTGTAACACATGGTCTTGAAAAGGTAACTCAATCTTGGGCAGAGTGCAGTGAAATGTGGAGTATTTTAATTAAAATGGCTTTGACAGTCCCTCTCAATGTTTCATTAAAATCAAAACTGTGTGAATCATAAGCCATAAGCATTAATTAGTGTGTTGCAAAGCAAATCTCATTTGACTGTACTTGATTAACACAGTCAGCATTTGTAAACATGTTTCATTAGCAGAGTTGGAGTCATCAGTCAATTGGAAACCCCAATTTTTGGAGTTACCCACCTCTTAACACCCCAAAGTAATGGAGGTGTGAACAGGGAATTAAACTTCCCTGGTGGCAGCTCTGCTAAAACTGGTATTTATATGGATCAGTGTGACACAAA